CTAGTATGAATTCATCATAAATCTAAATCTTAGGATATTAAGGGTTCTTCATAGATACATCAGAATCGTTGAAGATTCATAACACAAATTCCTCCGCGACCGCCGACGGCAATGGACTCAACCGGGATGGGGATACTGATTTCTGGAACGCCACAATTCATCTTCGTGGAACGTAATTGTCTGCGGTGAAGTATATACCCCGCCAGCTGGCTTCTTCTTCCTAGACCATGTGACTGGCAACGTGGACCCAAGGGTTTTCTCAGGACTCGTTAATGTTCAAGAATCCTAGTCACAAGAGCCAGTTTGCCGTCCCGGCTCTCAACCTCTCAACCGTGTAAATCCGCACGCAAGAATAGAAAATAACGCGCGATTGAATGTAGGACCTAGCATTGAAGATCGCTCATGATCACGTAGTAAACCAGGATTATTCTGGGATTGCTTCTGAGAAGTTGAATCATTGTGAGTTAAGATGAGTCAAGAATCCAATAAGTACTATTCGGGCTTGTGACATAGTGAACGTGGACAGATATCATTTAGCGGCTCATTTGGAATTCGTTTTTTTGCTGGCGATACCTAAGAAATCATTCTCTCTATTCGAGGACGAGAGGCTTGTCATAAGTACATATGTAATAATTAGCGGACAATCAATCTGACTCGTGCCAAACCGCCGGTAAGTCGATCTACTGGAAGCCAAGTCCAAGGAAACGCCCATACGTGGAAAGAAAACCCCAAGCTCCTCTGTAAGTTCGACCCACCTCGTACAAGCACGCTTTACTCAGAGAAATTGAAGTAGTAATGGTTTTTTGTGTGAGAAGCTGCGTCTCAGGAAAAAAAGGGTTGAATCAGTAGACGTAAATCCGTTCAGGATCAGCAGGCAGAGGCTAACCAGGCTGGGTAATACTGTCTACTTTTTGTGTGACGTGTCGGTCCTCTACTCGGGTCATGACCGTTACATAGGCCTTTACATAGGGGTTAGGAAGCATGCCGTATAAGTGGTCTTGTCTGTCGACGAAGAATACATAGCCGTGACATAACGCGTGGCAGAAACGCGGCGGCCCCTGTGTCGGCAGCGACCGAAGCAGTTCAATGTGATCTCGGAGATCGCTGGTGAAGATAAGCGGATAATCATTAACAACGAGTATGGTATAGGGAATAAGAATAGAAAATGATCCACCGTCCTTGAGCGGGACTTACACGTACAAATCAAACCTCGTATCTAGTTCCTCCATCATTATGAGAGTATAAAGGAAATCGGCTAATTGGACGGTTTACATGGTGCTGATTGTCTGGAGTCTGGCAATCTTGGCGAGATGATGTGACATAAGCAGGTATAAAGGAAGCAAGAAGCATCTCGATGGGTATAGTTAGGGAATATCTGCAGAAACTTAAAGTTAACCTCTCGTATTGAGTCGCGGGATGTCAAACAGAACGTGCTCAGTACTGGTGTAGCGTTTACCTTTTGTTGATTGCCCAACGACTTTGATAGTTGTGGCAGGCATAGCGTACGAGTTTTCCTCGACCAATGAATCAGAAATGTTGTGAACCTTTTAGAAGGATTGAGGGATCAGAACGTACTATATAAATCGGATCATGTGGACATGGCTGTGGGTAACCTCAGCGTAGGACTTTCGCCAGCAGTTTTTGTGAAATATCGAGCACAGAAGCTTCACTGATCGAGCAAGTATAAGTACCAATGTAGTAGATTCCTATCATCAGAACCGAACCGCAGAAAATGAAGAGCGGGTATAGAAAGAACTTCACTTTCTCGGTGAGTCTGATTATACTGTTGCTGAGTCGACGAAACGTTGAGCTCGAAGCAAAAACAGAAGAACGTTGGTCAATGAGGCTTACTTGATTAAGGGGGGTACCTATTGAACCTTATCCTCCCCATAGAGAGCGAACCGTCAAGTTTATTGAAATAGTGTTTGCTTCTTGTAAATAAACTATCTTCGGAAACGAGCACAACGCATAAGCTGTCTATCCTTCCGGAGAAAAGAAGCAAAGTACAGCCGGAGCAGCAACGGCGTGGAAGGATCCACGCACATGGTCCTTCATTCTCACTTCGGGAGTAGCAGTGATTATACGGCGCAGTAACATCGCAAGATATCCATTCGTGGAGCAAACTCCAGGGTGATGGAAGTTTCAAACTTTTTCGACAGCATTCGAGGGCCATCTGATGCTGGAGGCGAGAACAGGGTGAACGAAGTTTGATCCAAGAAAACATATAAATGATGTAAGATGCAGCCGAATCAGCAGTGAAACTTTTTCTTCCATACAACGGAGCAATACTATCGCTGAAGGGCAGCTGCCGCATGTCAGCGGTAAACAGAAAACTTTTTCATTTCCGTGCATGTATTGAGCTTTCATAAAGACTGTATAGGAGATGTGTCACGTTTGAGAAGAAGTTCGGTTGAGTTTTCAATATTGCTTTGATGCTACTTGTCAAAGACACTCCTTGAAAGTCCAACTCACCTCAGAAAGTTCACTACTATGGACTTGCTTCCACATACAGCCTGTCAGGCGTCCAGAAGATAGTCCGTCACCTCCACACTTTCCACGATTGATTTACATTATTGTGTCATTACAAATTTCTAGGTGCCTGGCACTGTTAAGCCATGAGATCTAACATCCGTGCAATGGTTCGAGATGGACAAGTTTTTGTGGATCTTATCCAAAATTTATCTTCCGAATGTTGGAGCTTGTTAAATCAGATGCTACGGGACATTAATAGATGAACATATGAAAGCTGCGAGTTGCCATCAAGAGGTTTGAAGAGAAGGACACAAACAAATGGACAAGGAGCCCTTGACCATTTTCCAGAAATTTGATACGGATCAGTGGCTGTGCAAGCTTTTAAATTATTAAAAAAATCTTTTTGAAGTTCAATCGAACAATTCCAGTTTTTCAGAATACTTACTCACAGCTCGAGCCTTGTAACTTCATTTGTGTTGCTCTACCAAGGAAAGATGCAGTCCAGAGAGGGTAAGCGTCGGTCATACTCATGGACAAAGACATCGACATCGACATCTGATAGGGAGTTCCTTTTCGGATATTGATGCTGAAGGACCATTTGCGACCAATGTGGGTAGAGATGCGGCCGATACATACATCAGAGAAAAAATCAAGGACTACGAGGGGATTTTGTCCTACTACAAAGGACGCCTCAATGCACTCACCATCACCTGTCGGATTCCCCCTGAAATGCTGGCCGAGGTTTTCGGTGAACTACAGTACAGTCCCTCTACCAATGCGGATAGTGGACCCTTCGACTGGATTAAAACCGTGTCACACGTGTGCTCCCACTGGCGTAGGGTGGCGTTGACCACTCCCGAATTGTGGACAAACATACAAATAAATCACCCACTATGGGCAATGGAAATGTCCGAGCGTTCAGGGACAGTGCCTCTAACGATCCATTTTGATGAACGATTTCTTCATGTTTTTCACTCCACAGAACGATGTCGGCGTTCGTCCGCGGTCTTGAGGGACATCCTCCATTCCCACCATTCAAGGATCAAGAACCTTACCTTCACCTTGTATTCTGAATATGATGAGAGAAGAGGCCACGACTTGGGCATATTTCTCGAGTTGTTGGATCGGCCTATGCCCACCATAGAACGACTCGGAGTGACAATATCGACTGAAGTGTCCCAGAAGAACATGCTTCCGCCAGAATTTTTTTCAATGTCATCACGACTGCAGCATCTCAGATTGGTAGAGTGTGCCATGTCATGGAATCCCGACTTCGTGGGTATAAGGAACCTTCGTTCTCTCGAAATTTCGCGTCTATCAAGGACTATGAGTCCAACGATGGCTCAATTGTTGGATGTGCTTTCGCAAACAACTCTTCTCGAAGCTCTCAATACAGACATCCAGGCCTTGTGCAACTCTAGTGACACGGCCTTGGCGAAGAATAAGGCTCCACTCAACCTGCAGCACTTAACAAGTATAGCAACTGGAAGTGATCTCTTTACCTGTGCTTTTCTTGTGGATCACATCGTTTTCTCGAGTAACGCCAAGAACATTATCCTTCGTCTTGAACCATTACAAGAGCTCCCAGCCTTCTTACTACGATCTCTGGCCCAGAGGATCGACGATGGTTTTGCGGGTCCAATTTTGAAGCTCGCATTAGCCAATCGGAAGGTTCAGTGTTGGAAGTTAGCAGACAAAGACATCACATTTCCAAAGTTGCCCACGATCAATATTGGAGATTTTACCGAGGAGACCGGAGGACCATTCTTCCAGTCGCTTCGCTTGGATCAGCTTCAATTATTAGAAGTCGATTTTATCCTGAGTGTTGACGAGTGGTCGCTCTTTGGTGATCTTCCACACCTCACCTCTCTTCAAGTGTTTTCAAACGAGTCATCCTTGCTCCGTGTCCTTTTACGTAGAAAGGCCAATACACCGGATCCTGACACTCCACCTGACCGTCCGGCCTTTGTAGCTCTTCGAAGGCTCAGAATTTCAAGTTGGCGTTTGGACGCGCTTTTCAGGCCTAGAAAGAACACGTCTATTATCCAATTATTACGACGATACTTAAAGCGTCGCAAGATGGATGGACGAGGTCTTCATTTTCTTCAAGTGAGGTGTTGTAGAGGAGTGGATGAGAATGTTCTCGCTCCCCTACGAAAATTTATCAAACAAATCGAGTGGGATGGGGTTGACTGCAACAATTATGACACAGGGGAGGAGTAATCGTCTGGTGAAGATGACTATTCTCATTGAACTCAGAGTGATAAGAATCTCTGAGCAAGTTATCCCAGCTAAATAGAAAGTCATGTTATATGAAAAGATTCATTCAATCATCGTATATCTGACAAGTGTTTACGTTTAGGTCGGAGGGAGATCACCTACCTTTCCTCGGAATCTGTGAGAACTACAGCACCAGCACTAGATGTCAATGCACTCCTCGTCCACGTTCTAGTGGATGATGGGGAGCAAGTACGCTTTATTCGTGAGCACTTAAAAACACGTAATGCAATAACCGAACAATATATCATGCCAATGTGGCTCAATGGATAGAGCATCGCTTTCCTATTATGTGGCTGCTTAGATCTTTGATCTCAGAGGCTATAAGGCGAAGGTTGTGGGTTCGAGTCCCATCATTGGTTGTCAGAGTTAACCAAACCAGTCCTTTTGTCGTTTGTTATCATAAATAATTACATGACAGCTTGACACCCCCTAAAACCATTAACGCATCGGCTTTGGGTTCTAAGTCACTAGTACGGGACACTGGAAACTTGCTCATATCCAGTTGCAACGAGCTCAATTTTGCTCGCCGGATCGGTTGCCGCGGCTTCACGTGGAACAACTTGGGTGATGCTGAGTCTGGTCCCGACCAAGCCATACTTATAATATCCTTTCTCGTTCATCAGCAAGCTCAACTTCGTGATTGCTTCCACGACATCGTAGCCTCGTACAGCTTCATTCTTCTCTAACGACCTTTTTTTGAAATCAACCTTCGCTGCTATGTGGAGGAATCTCGGTAGGTATTAGTGGGACGGGCCGCCCTCGACCGCCGCACAACAACATCGAGCCGCCGCCGTGGATGACCGCCGGTCACCTGGTCCTTTTTTTACTATGCTGAATCGTGAGGTCCAGCTCAGGAGCTGTTTCTTCACCCCATTTAGCATGGATCGTGAATCGAAACCCGTTTTAGTTCATGTGAGTGTGTGAGTCCTCAGTCGCCTGAGCTTCAAGTATAAAGGGCGTCGATGTTGATGGTAATAGTTTTCTTTCCTGCCTTTCCGTACTCATGGTGGTACAGAGAACGTTTGTGGCGTTTTTGGCGCTCGTCGCCACTCTCTTCCTGGTCGTCGCCGCTGAAATGAACACTTTTGGTGTCCGTGGTGATTTACACTTTGGCCTCGAAGCTCGTGCAAAGAATAAGGATGGCTCTGCTCCTATCTACAAAGACCCCAACGCTCCGATAGAAGATCGTGTCAATGACTTGTTACCTCGGATGACGTTGGAAGAAAAGGTATCCCAGTTGTACGTGCCTTTTTCGCCTACCCTAGACGCGTCATTCACCGTGTTATCCCAGAATTCAAGGTGACATAAACGGATGGATGAACCTCAGCGACCCTCTCGACGATACTCTCGTCTTTAACCAAACCGGTCTCGTACGTCCCAATTCCCAGCCTTTTCTCTATTCGAAGCGTTGATCTTGTATATAGGAAGAGATGATCCGACTCAAGGGTGGAAGCATCTGGGCTGGATATCTCACTCCCTACGAGAAGCTTGTGTACGCAATCAACGTCGGTCAACACTACCTGATGGAAAACACGACACTTGGCATCCCTGCACTCTTCCAATCTGAAGGTATGTGTCCTTCCTCCTCGTAATTTCAACTTGCGTCACATACTCGCTTTCAACTCAGGTCTCCACGGATTCACTGACAACGGGACAATCTTCCCCTCACCAATCGGCCTCGCCGCGTCCTTCGACACCGACCTTGTGTCTAAAGTCGCCAGCGTAGCCTCCGATGAAGCCGAAGGACTCGGAATCACCCACATGTTCGCTCCCGTCCTCGACCTTTCGCGGGAACTCCGTTGGGGTCGCGTCGAGGAGAATTTTGGAGAGGATCCGTTCCTTACTGGTGAGATGGGCCATGCTTTTGTTACGGGAATGCAGTCCGGCAAGCGGAGGAATGTTAGTGAAACAGCGATCGCTCGTGTGGCGGCTACGTGCAAGCATTTTGCTGCGTTTGGAAGTCCACAGGGTGGTCTGTGAGTGTCTTGTTTTCTTGAAATTATGGAATATACAGGGTGTTCATGTCTACTCTAATAGTAACTTGGCGCAGGTGTCTGGTGGCGAGCGAGAGCTGCGCACGATGTATTTGAAGCCATTCAACAGAGCATGTATCGACAGCCTGTCAATTATGACGGCTTACTCCAGCTATGATGGTATCCCCGCTATCGCTAATACTCGTAAGTATTCTACATCCTTTCGGTCCGTTGAAATGTCACAGCTATGGTCCGCGCGCAGATTTATTGACTGATATCGTGAGCTATTCTTTACGATACCCCCCAGTTGATTTTCACTCATAGATAACTATTACATTAGCTGAGAAACGAGTGGGGCTACAAGTACTGGGTCGTTACAGATGCGGGTTCCGTGGACCTCCTGATCACGCTTCATGGAACATGTGAAACGAGGGAATGCGCTGCGAAGGCCACTGTGAATAACTTTAGCGGAGAAATGGGTGGAGGTAAGGTTCTGTGCTACCTCTGCTTGCTTCTTTTTCTTACTCAATGTCGCACTCAGGGACGTATACTTTCCTCACTCTCCCAGGTAAAGGAACCTACCTATTTTTGATGGAGTTTGTACTCACCAAACTTTCACAGACCAAGTTGCAGCGGGAACAGTTAGCATGGATACGATCGATGAGACCGTCAAAACACTCCTTCGAGCGAAATTTTCTCTTGGCCTCTTTGAGAGTGAGTACCTGTCTTTCCCAGGTTGACTCGTGATTTTGATTTATTGTCTGGTATAGATCCATACCCTTACGAAGACTATCTTTCATCAATCCGTACCCCCGAATCTAAAGAAATTCTCCATGCCGCCGACGCAGAAAGCATCGTTCTCCTCGAGAACCGACAAAATATCCTCCCACTCAGCACCAACATTGGTTCCGTTGCTCTCATCGGGCCTCAAGTTGATCGTGTTGCTGTGCGCCTTCATTCCTCTAAACCTTACTTTCTTTTTCACTAATCCACGATTGGAATCTCAGTTTGGCGACTACGTCTTCCTCAATGCTTCCAATAATGGCATCACCCCTCTCGCCGGGTTCAAACAATACCTCGCAAACGTATCCAGTTCGACGAAGATCAACTTTGCGGAAGGCTGTAAACTCTGGTCGAACGACGAGTCTGGGATACACGCTGCAGTTGATGCAGCCAAAAACTCTGATGTCGCGATCGTCATGGTACGTCGTTATCCTCTGGTCAGCTATTTTTGTTCTCATGCTCCTGGTGGATGCAGGTGGGAACGTGGTCCCTTGACCAAACGAACCTATGGACGCCCGGCACGAACGCAACCACGGGAGAGCATGTTGATCTTTCGAATCTTGGGTTGGTGGGTGCCCAGCTGGCACTTGCGCAAGCTGTGAAGGACGCCGGAAAGCCGACGATTGTCGTGCTTGTCAGTGGGAAGCCGGTTGCGGAGCCGTGGATCCAAGCGCGTAAGTGTTATCTTTTTATGTGAACGTGTTGTGGAGAGTGATCTGCGATTTGGGTGTAGATGCCGATGCTGTGATTCAACAGTTTTATCCTGGTGAGATGGGAGGTATGTATAGGTGTCGTAGCTGTGGGGAGGTGGATCATTGAAACCTTGTCTTTTTCTCAGGGCTAGCAATTGCAGAAGTCATCTTTGGCGCTGTGAATCCTTCCGGTGGGTTTGTTGACATCCCATGATTTTTTTGGTTATGGAGTGTACCTTGCAAAACAGGAAAGCTCCCCGTTTCCTTTCCTCGAAGCATCGGAACGACGCCAGCCTTCTACAACTACCTCAAAGGCAGTAGGCCTCTCGACCCTGGATTTGTGTTTGACAATGGTACACTGAAGTTCGGACACCAGGTTCGTATGCCTCTGATTTGATTGCTCGAAGTATCCGTGTCATGAGTAATCAAAATAGTATGTGCTTGACAGCCCAATTCCCCTGTGGAGCTTCGGGCATGGGTTGAGCTATACCACCTTCAACTAGTGAGCTAGGTGCTTCGAAGGTTCTATTTTCATGCTGACCTGGACAATGCAGTACTGACCTTACGCTCTCTTCGTCGACGATTACACCTTCGCAGGATTTCAATGTCAGCGTCACCGTCCACAACACTGGATCCGTCACAGGGAAGGAAGTTGTCCAGGTTTGTTAAAATTTCCTTGAAAGAGATCTTGGTCTTTGTCTAAAGTAGACTCGCATTTGTAGGTATACATGACTGACCTTGTTGCCTCCGTCGTCACCCCAAATCAGGAACTCATAGGGTTCAAGAAAGTCGAGATACCGTGCGTGCTCAGTTGTTCAAAGATGGAACTGTCCATTGATATATGAATAACATGAATGTAGAGCTGGAGGGTCGACAATTGTGACTATACCTGTTCTGTCTTCACAGCTTGCAGTGTGGAGCGTGCAGAACAAGTGGGTTGTTGAGCCGGGAGTGTTTGCTGTCAAAGTTGGCACAAGTGATACCGTGTATGCACAGACAAATTTGACGGTTACTTAGAGGGAAGATTGTGCTCGTCCAGGGTTCGTGAAAATATTGTACGCCTTCACACATGTATAATATCGAGTGAAGAAAGTGAATAACAATGTATGAGTGAGGAAATCCTTATACACTTTCTAGAAGACAAAGGTGGTGGATTTTCGTTGCATCGTTGGTTCTAGACTACCTTGATCTTGTCCCTTGCTTGTCAGATAGACATGTCTTCCCTGCTGCCCTTCTACACATACTTGCCCAGAGCAACAGTGTCATTTCAGGCTAAAGTTTACACCTTGGAATACTGCTAAAAACACACCTTGCCAATGTAATCTGTCACCTGCCATTCATGCCATGATATGATGCCCTTATTTACTTTCCCTTTGAATATGGTCATGAGTTGTATTACACTGGCCTACATTCTTCTGCATGTATCCCCACTTCACATGTGCTTTCAAATTGTTTGAACATATGACTGCTTCTATGGGGATTCCAGTGTTGGAGGAAAAACTGAAGCTTGTGTTGAAGAAATACAAGGCACACAGTTTCTGAGTTGTTTGTATTGGTAGCAGTAGGTGTTGATGACATCTATTGCCACCTAGCTGCTGTGCAGAGAACACAAACAACTAGCAGTTTTGCAAGTAGTGTATGAACAGACTTGAAGAAATGAGGGTAGCAAACTGAGCTAGGTCCCAGAGAACCTGGTTTAGTAAAGGTGAAATGAGGAAAGGAGGACTCAAGTGTAAAGTGGTTGTTAGTGTTAGCATTAGTTGCTAGGTAGTGACAGCAGAGACAAAGGCACTAGGGTTGTTACCAAATCAGGGTACAAGGCAAAAGGGTTGCTAAACTTGCAAAGGCATCAGCAAAAGGGGTAGCAAAACTAACTACTAGCTGTAGGTGCTAGTGCAAAATGTGGACTTG